AAAATAAAAGTAAACGTAGTAATTTTTAAATAAATCTTTTATATATATTGTAGAGAAAGAATACATCAGAACAATTAATAAACCATTTTAGACAAATCCGTGCAGTAGTTTTGGAGGAATAGTGTGTATAAAATTTAGCGAAATTCGGTTAAAAGAGGGGGCTTCCCCCCAATAAAGAATCATTTTGTAGTTTTTAATTATTTATAACGAAAAAGCGGTTTTTCAATCAATACTTTTAATAATATGTATAAGCCAAAAACTAAATCATTATTAATATTATTTCAAAGTAAAAATAATGGTACTAATGGATTTTGTGTTATTTACGGACAAACTAGAAATCGAGTCATGAATAAAAAAGTACAACAAAAAAGTGCTGACAATAACAAAAAAGCATCTTAACTATTGTGAATTACAGAAGTAGCTTACATATGCATTTACGTTTGACTATATTATAATTCATCTGCTTTTCGTCTAAATATCGAATAATTCTCAGAATACTAGCAAAGAAAAAAGGCACAAAACGAAACTGAGATAATGACAAAAAAATGCTTCACGGTTTCCACGAATTATTCTATTAAACGATAACATCCAGTACAACAGTACAAATCGTATTCAAAATTAATTAAAAGTAGTTCGCGGGAGCAATTCCAAAATAATCATTCGTGAAAAAGTGTTTTTATCTTCTTAGAAGAAACGTGTACAACACTATGAAATATAATACATACATACTATTTTTCTATATTATCCAAAAGCGTAATGTGATCATTGTATCAGAAAATGGTCCCACAACCACTGAAACTGGATTGTGATGTAGTTATTTACAACTGTTAAAGACAGGTGTTAAAAACAGCCGTTAGTAACACAGATGGATCGTCAGTATCTTTGATTTTGCGGTAATTTACAAGCTTTCTTAATAGATGTTTTGTAAATGTACATATAACCATACATTTTTCAATACACATAAATAAAATTTATCTAGTTTGTCTATAATATTGAAATAACTGCATTTTCCTAAGCAGTAATGTAATTGTTTGTATATTACAGACAAAAAAAAAATTTAAAAAATCTGTTTGTTTATCTATATGGGCTAATCATCGAAATGGTTCAACCGAATTTGATGGAATTTTATGAACAGGAGACTGCCAGGAGCAATCTGAGATACTTTTATAATGGTTTATCGGTTATAACATTTAAATTTATTCTAAATAATTAGAATTAACATTAACAAAAAATGATTCAACCAGACGAAGTCACGGATGAAAGCTAGTATATATACTCATATAACAAATCCTTTGACTCCTTTTTTTGATAGGTAAAGTAAAATACTTCCGAATATCTACAAATTTAGTAGTTTTCACAATATATACGACCGATAAATGTACACAAAATAAAAACATGTACAATATACATGTTGCTCATAAAGTAAAAAAAAAGTAAAACAGGAAATAAACCAGAGCCGCCCGCCTGAGAAAATGAGAGTATATCCGAATTCGTTATAATTGTTTCGATTATGTTTATTTGTTTTAAAGTGCCAAAGGTTCTTGTTAATTCAATTGTATAAACGTTAAATGTATATTTGATTTGTAATTAAATTGGTCGAATTTTCACAACATACCAAACTCATATATGTCTCAATATTATACTTTTTAGTACAGATAAACCACTCAAGTTGAACTGTTTTTTAGTTTTCATTATTTTAAAATTTTTTGTCTATTTGTTTGAAGAAATTTTGTAAAAATTGAAATGTACGAACCGTCAGGATTTTTACAATAAATTATGTAATAATATAAAATAATAAATAACATATGACCCAATACTTGTATCATAATAATAACAGTTCAGTGACTCCAATTTGAGAAATATGACCCCATTGCAAATATTAGTGGTCGTATCAACTAACAATTCTATTTATCAGTATTACAATTAGCGACACTATTATCATTTCTTGCAGTTATAACCGAAAAAACGGATATATTGACGTATGAGTACGCCTTCGCAGCTGATTTTCTGGCTTAAAAAAGTCTTAAGAATGTTTCGTGAAAACCGAGAAAATCAGCCTTCGCAGGCGTGTCTGACCTTACTTAAAAAATTATTTAATTTTAAGCAGTTTATCTCTACCTTGTGTTTGTTTTCATAACTTGTGGAGGTTGTTTTTCAATTATAAAAGTCGATGTAACAAGAGAACTAAGTAATTGAGTGATTTCAGACAGTAGTTGTGCAAGGGCGTCTCTGACACCAGGTGGATCCAAGGCGAGTTTCTGCTTCAGTCGATCAACTTCTTTAATTTGTTGTCGATTTGTCCATATTAATTCTGCTAAACTTTCACACCTATAGAACATAATGGTAAAAACTTTTCAATAAAATGTACTAGCAAAAGTATTAAAAAATAGCAATACACAGAAAACACAGTTATTGTACACTATATCTCTTAGTACCCTTATCGGGAAGGGATATGCATTTTTGAAAATTTTCTGGAAAAAAATTAATAGTATATATAAATAATTGTAACTAATTAAAATAAATTAAAAATATTTTGCAGATTAAAAGTCCTGATCTTGCTAAGTGAAAAGTTAAGTACTT